GGTGTCCCGTGATGATGATGATGATGATGATGATGATGATGATGATGATGATGATGATGATGATGATGATGATGGTGATGGTGATGGTGATGGTGATGATGATGACGATGATGGTGCCCCGATGATGATGATGATGATGATGATGATGTTGATGATGAGAATGATGATGAGGTGATAGTGTTGATCTTGATTTTGATGATGGTGGCCCGATTATGGTGATGATGATGTTGATGTTGATGATGATGGTGTCCCGATGATGATGGTGATGATGATGGTGTCCCGATGATGATGAAGATGATGATGATGATGTTGATGATGATGCTGCTGATGATGATGGTGTCCCGATGATGATGATGATGATGATGATGATGATGATGATGATGATGATGATGTTGTTCATGATGATGATGATGATGAGATGATGATGGTTGTGGTGTTCCGATGATGATGATGGTTACCCGATGATGATGATGATGTTGATGATGAGGATGATGATGGTGACGATGATGGTGTCCCGATGATGATGATGATGATGATGATGTTGATGCTGATGGTGATGATGATGGTGATGAGGTGATGGTGATGATGGTGGTGTCCTGGTGATGATGATGATGATGATGATGATGATGATGATGATGATGATAATGATGTGGATGACGATGATGTTGATGATGATGATTTTGACGTTGATTGTGAGATCGATTGTGATATCGATAGTGAGATCGATAGTGAGACCGAATGTGGGATCGATTGTGGGATCGATAGTGAGATCGATAGTGAGATCGATAGTCAGATCGATTGTGAGATCGACCGAATGAAGTAGATCGAGTGAGATCGATTGTGAGATCCATCGAGTGATATCGATCGAGCGAGACCGATAGTGAGATCGATAGTGGGACCGATCGAGTGAGACGTGAGTTCCTCCCCCCCCCCCCGAACCTCCTTACCACCCGAAGGGTGGTCGTATAGGTAAGGCCCAAGAGGGCCCCAAGATGCCCCAATATGTTCCCCAGAGAGGCTCATGACGGCCCACGACTGTCCAAAATTGGCTCAAGACGGCCACGCGACGACGCAAAGAGCAGCCAAGACGGCCCAGAGTGGCCCATTCTTGCCCAAGACGTGGGCGACAAGACGGCCCAAGGGACGGCTTCAGGAGCGCCTCGGAGGAGCTTGAGACGGCCCAAGAGGCCAGAGTCACCTTGCGTGTGTTTGAAAGGCTCCTAGCGCGCGCCCCCTTCCTCCTTCGACATGGTCACCCTCTTGTGTCCCGCATGTCCAGTGGAGATGCGGGTAGTGCGAAGTCATCTTACGTGGCTGATCGTGCCGAATCATGTTGCCAGCCATATAGGTGGGTGCGTTTGCAGTTTGTGTTCGCAGGTGCAGTCAAGCGCAGAATCCGAGGATTGCTCAGCACCCCCCATGTCCTTCAGTTTCTCCGTACCTCTCTGCATCAGCTCCACGTCATCCCCCGACCCTTCCTCCTCCTCCTCTCCTATTCCTCCTTCTGGACGCAAGGCTTTTTCAGATAAAGGTTCGGAGCGGCCGCGTGTACTCATGTGTAGGTGCCTGCAGCGTGTCGATTCACATCCGCCTGCACACCGCGATGTCATGTACTGAGGTCGTGTTCATAGGCAAGTGTTTTCGCGAAGAGAGCGACGTCGTCTCACGTGGCAGATCGTGCCGAAGCATGTTGCTAGCCACACAGGCGGTCATGTGTTCCCTGCAGGCGGTGCTTGAAACACAGTGTCGGGGGATGTGGGTTATGGTGGCACCTGTGTTGCTTGTAAACTTATATGCGCCGTAGGGGATGTCGGTCGGCCAGTGGAAGAAGAAGAAGACGAATACGACGAATAAGAAAAAAAGAGGAAGAAAAATAATAATAACCATATTGAGGTGCACGATCCAGTTCTGGCCTTCCCAGGTATGGAGGAGGAGGGGGACGGGAAATGGGGGAAGGGGGGGTGAACGGAGGTCAGGAAAGGGGGGATGAGGAGTAAAAGAGAAAATTGAGTGGAGCAGCGTCAGGGGGGCAAATGGGGGAAACTTGCGCGCGCGCGAAGCGCGCGTGTTTGTAGTACATATATGCATATATGTGTATACAGATCCGTATACGTGTGTATGTGTGTATGTGTGTACGCATGCATGGGTGCAGGTGTGTCTGTATGTGTGTATGGTTGTGTGTATGTATGTATGCATGTATGTATTTGTGTATGCGCATGCAACGCAAATGTATATGTATGTGTGTACGTGTGTGCTGCGGTTGTGTAAGTATATGCATGTTTGTATGTGTGTATGGTTGTGTGTGTATACATGTATGCGCATGCGTATGTGTGTATGTGTGCATGCATGTATGCATGCAGGCATGCATGCATGCATGCATGTATGCATGTGTATGTGTATGTAGGTATGCATGCACATATAGATTATGTGTATGTGCTAGGCATACATCTAGTTATGTATGCATGTATGTGTGTATGTGTATGTATGCATGTATGTATGTGTGTATGTATGTATGTATGTGTATGTATGTGTGTATGTATGTATGCATGCATGCATGCATGCATGCATGTATGCATGTGTGCATGTATGCATGCATGTATGCATGTATGCATGTATGCATGTATGCATGTATGCATGTATGTATAGGCATGTATGAAGTTCTGGTGGCCTGGGGAGATGGACGAGCCACGAACGAGGAGGGGAAGAGCGCGGAAGATGCCTCGCTGCGAGGCATCGGTTCCCCGGCCTGCTTGGCTGCGGCGTCGGAGTGCCAGGCAGCCCGCCCGCTCGACGGCAGGGATCTTGCCCCTCTGTCTCCTCCTTCGCCTCCTCCCACCCCACCTGCCACCTCCTCCTCCTCGCCCCCTCCCACCCCACCTTCCACCTGCTCCTCCTCCTCGTCCTCCTCCTCCTCCTCCCTTCTTTCGATAGTAAATCACGGAAGCTCCCGCTCGTGTTGGATTGCATGCGCATCGGCGCAGAAAGCGCCGAGGCGCATGCGTACCGCTCGGCGAGGGCCCAACAGTGCCAAATAGGGCCATGTGAGGGAGATGCATGCTGTCCGCTCTGCGCGCGAATGCGCGTGCTAGTGGGCGCCATGGGGACGGCAAAAAGTTTCCGCGGGTTGTTTTCTAATTTTCTCTTGCTATCTTCCTCGAAGAAGGAGAGGTGGTCTAGACAGACACTGTTGGAGCCCCGCTCCAGACATCTTAGATCTGCGCTGTGTCCCCCCGACAGCGCCTCCGGCGCCGCCCCTGGCGCTCTCCGCGCACCAGGCAGGGGGCATCCGCGCCGATCAAACAAATTCGCGCGGAGCTCCGACAGGTTCTGTGTTGATGATTATTGTTGCTCCTCTCGCCAAAGAAGCGATGGGTCATGACAATGATATGGTCCAGGATTACCAAGGCTTCCAGGGTGTCCCATATGTCCTAACGTCCACACAGGCTGCAAAACATCAGGGCCGCTGGATACTCATTGGAAGTCCTGGAACGCCTCCTGGGCTACGATGATGACATCATGCTGGTCCTTTCTAGCCCTGCCCTTCCTCCGCCTCTCGCAGCCCCCCGAGGCTCTGTCAATGTTTGCGTTCCGGCCTCCTGGCCCCCGCCCGTGAAAGCGTGTGCGCCTGCGTGCCGCGCACCGCCTCCTGCTCTCTTCCAAATTGCCCTCACCGATCCTGGCGCGTGCCCCCCCACCACTCCCTCCTCCTCCTCCTCGACGGTTCGACCACTGAAGTGAATTTCAGTGTTGTCCTGGAACGGAAACGCGGCAACCATTGTCGATCTCATCCGCGCGGACCAGAAATTGCGTTACTCACCGACGGGGCCTTCTCAGGCCAAGCCCCCCCCATCCTCAGTAGTCATGCGTTTGCACAACAGTGTCGACGAATTGCGAGTGACCACTTGGGCCCGCGATCTATACTCATTCGAATTTTCTAACGCACTCGCTTGTTCCGTTGACTATGGCGGGCTAATTCGCGATTCCGTCTCCCTGTCTCGCCCCGACGCGCGCTTCTGCCGCGCCTCGACGTAACACAAATTCTGGTGACCATCGATGCGATTGTTCGCTCCGTGAACGTCCGAGGTTCGGACAGGGCCGTTCCCCGGGCGGCGCGGCGCACGGGGGACGGGCTCTCGGCGCCAGGGCAGCCACGCGTGAAACCTTCTGCCCAGCATGCTCACGGTTTGACAGCAGCGTTTGATCGGGGGCGGCCAAGAGGGGGTGATGACTAGGGGGGGATGGATATCATGGCGTGGGCCACGATTTTCCTCAGATTTCATCGCGCCTTTTCTTATTCCATTACGTCCCTGCCCCCCCCTGGGCCGCGCAAGTGCCGCTGGCCATGATTTGCGCCCCCCCCTCTTGGACACCCCCCTCTTGGCCGCCCCCAATTTGTGCGCGCCCACATCCCCTTCTGCTCAGCCGCGCCGGCTGTCCCGAACACAGTCACGGAAAAAATACTCGCAACAGTAATTGTGGTCACCTTCCGTCGCCCGACCTTGCCCCCTTTTCCATGCTTGCAGATGTTCGTTGTCTGAGTGCACTTGCCCCCTTTTTCAGCGACCATGTCTTGGCCCTCTGTCCCTGCGTGTTTTCATTGGGCTTCCCAGACTGCTAACTTGCAGATGTGTGTTCTCCATTCGGGCGTACACAGGCGTACTGGGCGATTCCGCTCAGCAGCATGAAGTTGTTGATTGCGCGGCGCGGATTCCCCCCGAGTGAGGTCGTTCGAAGGGTTCTTCTCCACGAGGTGTCCCGGTTGATAGGCCAGCGTAAGCCATTACAGGTGGAGCCCGCGTCTTCGTGCGTAGGACCCTTTCTCTTTGCGCTCCTGGAGTACGTCTTGGTACGCACACGCCGACCCCACTCGCGCTGTCCCGCGAGGGCCCAGTTGGGGTCACTTGGGGGCTTCCGGGAGGCGTTCGGGGACTCGTTTGGCCTCGAGTCTTCCCAAGGGCCTCTGGGGGGCCTGCTCGGTGGCTTGGGGGGCATTGGGTTTTTGCCACGCCATCCCGCGAGGGCTCAGTTGCACTGAGTTGTTGGCCCTGCGGCCAAGGGCAACGCACTCCAGCGTGCCTGCGTCGAAAGAGGAAGCCGTGGTCAACACGCCACCAGAGGGATTTCTGGTCGGCGCAAGCAGCAGAAAGTCTGCCAAGTTGTCGCCAGGTTCTGGCGTTGCAAATCGGGCACCGATACCGTCAACATACGACGAAAGGGCGCCCTCGGTGCACGTCTTCTGGAGGATACCTACGGTCTTCGCCCCGTTGGTGGCTTCCATACTGCCGCTAGATGAGGAAAAGAGCGCCTCTGATTTGCCAGTTTCAAACAGCAGAGAAGCAACGCTCTCGCGTGGGTTCCCAGTGTGCAGCATCACCCTGGTCAATGCGCGCTTGAGGGCCTCCTGGTTGTCGTAAGACTGGGCTGCGACCAGGAGAGGGGCGGAGGCCGCCATCTCCCCCTGCGCCTCCTCCTCGGGCTCGTCCTCCGCTTCCCTGTGCTCAGCTCCTGCTGGGGGATCCCAGCGCAGTTCCCACAGGTGCCCGATGCTTTCGCCCGCTCCCGAATTGCAAGTTTTCCCAGATGGGCTCTTGCCGCCCCTCCTCTCGTCAGACATCTCGCGCAAGTGCGGCACCGACCAGAATTCCGAGGCGGATCCAGCCGAGGCGACGGGGGTGTTCGCTCCCGGGGGCCCCAGAAGCGGGTGGGGGCGTTCCGACAGGTGTCCGATGCTTTCGCCCGTTCCCCAGTTGCAAGCTCTACCAGACGGGCCTCTTGCTGTCTGGTGAGGCATCATCCGGGGGCCGTGGTGCAGCCAGGGATCCGTCGTCTCTCGGGCCTCCTTTCAGGAGGAGAAAAAAACACAGACACCAGTAATCGTCGATTCCCATGAAGAGATGGGAAAATATGAAGTGGGGGGGAAGACGAAAACCTAAAAAACATGGGAACATGTGGGGCATCCTGGGATTTGTGTTTTATTCCCCATATGCTTCGTGGAGTTATGGTTTTCTTCCCTGCCGCGCCGCACCCGCGTTCACCTTCACCTCCTCCTCCCTCCTCCCCTTCTCACACAGCGCAGCACAGCACAGCACTGCTCAGCACAGCTCAGCACAGCTCAGCTCAGCACAGCTAAGCACAGCACAGCTCGGCTCAGCTCGGCACAGCACAGCACAGCTCAGCACAGCAGAGCACGCAGGGCTAGCGCGCAGGGCACGGCAGGCCGCGGCCTCTATGCGTGCCAGGGTCGGGGAGCGTGGCAGGCGTTGTATTTTCTCGACACCATAGGGGGTGCGCAAGGGGTGGTCCCTCACCGCGGCCGCTATGCACGACGGTCGTCCAGGGCATAGCAGGCGTGGCATTTTCTCGACACCATAGGGGGTGCGCAGGGGGTGGTCCCTCACCGCGGCCGCTATCCACGACAGTCGTCCAGGGCATAGCAGGCGTGGCATTTACTCGACACCATAGGGGGTGCGCAGGGGGGTGGTCCCTCACCGGGCCGCTATGCCGACGGTCGTCCAGGCATAGCAGGCGTGGCATTTTTTCTGGGGTGCGCAAGGGTGGACACCATAGTGCCTAGCAGGGTGCGCAGTGGTTGGTCCCCCCCGCGGCCGCTATGCACGACGGTCGTCCAGGGCATAGCACGCGTGGCATTTTCTCGGCACCACAGAGGGTGCGCAGGGGTTGGTCCCTCACCGCGGCCACTATGCACGACGGTCGTCCAGGGAATGGCAAGCGTTGCGCCTTCTCGACGCCAGACGGGGTGCGCAGGGGGTGGTCCCTCACCGCGGCCGCTGGCTGGCTCGAATCTGTCATCGATGGAGGATAGAAGGCTAGGAAGAGCACCGCGGCCGCTATGCACGACGGTCGTCCAGGGCATAGCAGGCGTGGCATTTTCTCGACACCACTGGGGGTGCGCAGGGGGTGGTCCCTCACCGCGGCCGCTATACACGACGTTCGTCCAGTGCATAGCAGGCGTGGCATTTTCTCTACACCATAGGGGGTGCGCAGGGGGTGGTCCCTCACCGCGGCCGCTCTGCGCGCCGGTCGTCCAGGCCATAGCAGGCGTGGCATGTTCTCGACACCATAGGGGGTGCGCAGGGGGTGGTCCCTCAGCGCGGCCGCTGTGCACGACGGTCGTCCAGGGCATAGCAGGCGTGGCATTTTCTCGACACCATAGGGGGTGCGCAGGGGGTGGTCCCGCAGCGCGGAGCTATGACACGACGGTCGTCCAGTGCATAGCAGGCGTGGCATTTTCTCGACACCATAGGGGGTGCGCAGGGGGTGGTCCCTCACCGCGGCCGCTATGCACGACGGTCGTCCAGGGGCATAGCAGGCGTGGCATTCTCGACACCATAGGGGGTGTGCAGGGGGTGGTCCCGCAGCGGGCGCTATGCACGACGGTCGTCCATGCATAGCAGGCGTGGCATTTTCTCGACACCATGGGGGTGCGCAGGGGGTGGTCCCTCACCGCGGCCGCTATGCACGACGGTCGTCCAGGGCATAGCACGCGTGGCGCTTTCTCAACACCACAGAGGGTGCGCAGGGGGTGGTCCCTCACCGCGGCCACTATGCACGACGGTCGTCCAGGGCATAGCAAGCGTTGCGCCTTCTCGACGCCAGACGGGGTGCGCAGGGGGTGGTCCCTCACCGCGGCCGCTGGCTGGCTCGAATCTGTCATCGATGGAGGATAGAAGGCTAGGAAGAGGGAGGAGGTTCAAGCAATATGGCGTTGGATGATACATCGGGGAACATTCGCGACGAGGGCTCAGAACGCAGAATTGCGCATATATCGTAAACTTCAGCAAACACATGAGATTTAAATTCAGTATGTGGGATTCCTCGGTAGTGTAATTTGTGTGTCCTGGGGCCCCTTCATTCTTTCGAGCTGCATCATGTCCAGGAGCCCTCCGTCGCGGGCACCGGCCAGGGTTCTCTCGGCTCGTCCTGGGGCTTATTGGGTCGTCGTCTGGGTCGGCCGATGCAGTCTTCCCCGCCCCGTCTTGGGCCGCAGTTTGGAGGGTCTCGGGGTGTCCTGGGGGATCGTGCAGTCGCGTGCAGTCGCGTGCCCGTGGCGTACGAGAGGCCTTTGGGGGGCCGTTTGGGGGGGGGGGGCATGTTTCGTGAGGTGCCTTGGAGGGCATGGTTCTTGTGTCTTCGGCCTTGTGGAGCTGTATCGACACGTCTGGGGGCCTATTTGGCGAATCTATTTTTCTTCCAGGGACCGTCCAGAGCGAATCTGACCTCACCATCCGCACGAGCGCCCTGGCCCATCTCTACGCTACCGTCGGCACAGGATTCCCGAATTCCCCCTCCTGCCGTCCCTCCTCTCCTCCCGCGGGTTCCCCGCCCCATGGCCCGACAGCCCTGCCGCGCAGGAAAGCCAGTCGAGTGAGTTGATTTGCTACCTTTCCTTTGCTGGCCTCCGTGTCGTCCAGGCTGACGGGCTAACAGAAGCGGCTGGACAGTGCACTCTGAGGGGGTTTGTTTGAAACCACCTCACAAGGGCTCACAGCCAAACCTGCAGATGAGGAGGCAGAGGAGGAGGAGGATGAGGAGCTCCTCCTCCCCTTCTCCTCCGCGAGCGTGCATGCCGTTGCGTGCTGTGCGAGGCCCTCGGCACAGAAGTTGCCGTTGACGTGTGTTTTGTCTGCCTCGTCGTCGTCGCCTCCCTCATGTCGTCCCTTTTCCCCTTCCCCTCTGCTGAGTTCAAGTTCTGCGGCGGCTCCTCCAAGACAGCCGCGCGTCGCCAGGACGCATTGGCCCGCACTCCCTCCTGCGGCCCTGGCCGCACAGCCGCCCCCGCCCCTCCTCTCGTCAGACATCTCGCGCAGGGGTTGCGGCACCGACCAGAATTCCGAGGCGGATCCAGCCGCGGCGACGGGGGTGCTCGCTCCCGGGGGCCCAGAAGCGGGTGGGGGGAGGCTGAACTCCCCCCCCGATCCCAGCATTCGACCGCCTCGATCGAGGATCGAGGAGGTTCGGCGATCGACTCCTGGGTCCTCGAAGTTCGATCCTCAGGCTGCCCCCCCTCCCCCCGCGCCCCCAACAGGCGGCCGACCCGGCCGCACAGCGTCTGCTGGACGCGGTAGCGTCGCTCATGCCGCCGGGCCCCGTCGGCGCCTTCGCCGCCGCAGGCGCGCCCGCAGCGCTTGCCGCCGCGTCGCCATTTTTGTTCGCATTGGGCATTTTCGCTTGGACTCGTCTGGAGAACCGATGTGCGAGCAGAAAGAACGGGGGCAAAGAATCGCAGCGATTCCTTCTCAGTTTGAACAGGACTCGCTGTCGGTGTTTCCACGGGCGCTGTCCATTTGCGGCAAGAGGGCGCCTGCCCCACAGCGGCCGCTGTCGGTTTGGGATTACACTTGCAAGACACAAGGCAATGCCGTATCCATCTCGAGCATCCAAAGACTGGAGTCGAGGACTCACACATAGACCCATCTCGAGGAATGCTGTGGGGAGTTGGGGGTTCCATTATGTCTTGCTTGTGGAAAATGCGACATAGCCTGGGTCGAAATTGGTGAGGCTAGCGCATGCGAACGCAGCCACATGGACCTTCGGTGGAGCTCCTTGTGGGGTCACGAAACGTGGGGGGGGAGCGAAAATGGAAGCGGTGGGCGCATGCGAATGCAGTCACTGGCGCCTTCGGTGGAGTTCCCCATTAGGCCACGAAACGTGTGAGAGGTGTGCCAGCAAGGGTGCGGTGCGCGCGTGCGAGCGCAGCCACCAGGGCCCTCGGTGGAGCTCCCTCTGGGGCCACGAAGCGTGTGAGGGGTGTGCCGAAAAGGAGTGCGGCGGGCGCGTGCGAGCGCAGCCATTGGGGCCACGAAACTTGTGAGCGGTGAGCCGAAATGGGCGCGGTGGGCGCGTGCGCACGCAGCCACTGAGGCAATCGGTGGAGTTCCCTATGGGGCCACGAAGCGTCTGAGGGGTGTGTTGGCATGGATGATGTTGGCGCATGTGGACGCGTCCACTGGGGGATTTCGGCGGAGCTCCTTTTGGGGCCACGAAACGTGTGAGGGATGCACCGTCATGGTTGAATGGTGATGACAACAGAGGCAGGGATGGGATGAGGGAGGAGGGGGCAGGAGGAGAGGAAAGAGAGGGAGGAGACGCTGGGCGCTGCCTCTTCAAAACGAGAACCTAACACCACAGGATAGTTGGGACAAAAACATCAGTCGAGGGGGCAGTTCAGATTAACATCGCCCATCTGAAGCCAGAAAAGTTTGGGGCGCTGTTGGATTCCTGGAGTCGTCTTGGGCCTCTCACGGGCCCATCTTCGGGCTCTCTCGAGCGATCTTGGGGCCATCTTCAGGCCTCCGGGGCCCATCAGAAGCGAAAAGGCGAGACCCCCAACCAATGACATACACATTAGGTGTTTTGAGGAGTTGGCCCTCTCAGGGGGTTCCTCGGGACGCTCCCAAGCCATGTGGAGCCGTTTTGGGGTGGTCATGTGGAGGCAGGTGGGCGGACCTAGTGCGCCACATTGCAGGCTATCTAGAGCTAGATGAGGCCATGTTAGAGCTATATTGTGCCAAATCTTCCCAAGGATTCCCCGAGAGCCCGGAGTCTACCAGAATCCGCTGGTTTCCCCAACGATTCGGGTTGTGAGCAGAGGAGGCGGCGCCGATTGGCACCCGCCCCTGCTAAGCCCGACAGATATCGCATCTTGGGGCTCTCTTGGGAGGCTCTTGAAGCCGTCTGGTTGCCATCTGGGGGCCGCGACGGCATGGGACGATATTGCGGCCATTGTAAGGTCTCGTGGCAGTTTGTGTTGTGCGGCAACGGAGAACGAGCAAGGGGAGGACAGGGCCAGCGGGACGAAGCACGCGGGCGGGCAGGTGGGAAGGGACAGAGGCGAGACATCAAGCAGGGAGCAACAGAGACATGTAATATATGAAGCGAGCGAAACGGAGATAACGCAACGGCCATTCGTTGTCTCCAGATTTGGGCCTCTCGGTGGCGTCCTGGGAAGTCTCCGTGACCACTCCGAGTCGTGTCGGGGCGGACTCGGGACATCTCAAGGCATTTTGGATGGTATTTTGAGTTGCCTTGGAGAACAGATTGGGTTCCTTGTGGCAGTCGGGGGCAAATTATGACCCACTGACACCTCGACCACCCCCGCCCAGACACATTTGAGGGGCACTGGGAGAGGTAAACCTTTCCCGAGGGGGGAGACGTTGGTTGGATCACGTGACGATGCTTGAGGGCAAGGGATGACGGCAAGGATGCGGAAGCAGAAGAGGATGAAGATGACGGGTACGGAGAGAGAAGAGAATGAGAAGCAGGAAGAGTTGGTGTAAGTTGAAAGAGGAGGAGGAGGAGGAGGAGGAGGAGGAGGAGGAGGAGGAAGAAGAGCGAGGCTCAGAAGGGAAGTTGCCGTCCATCCCGCTACGGGGGGCTTGGCCTCCACCTGAGGAGCCAGGCCCTCCGACAGCAAACACGAAGCAGTCCACGGCTTCCACGGCTCAGAAGGCGAGCGGCAATTCCTCGGCGAGCCACGCGACGGCAGAGACCGTCACCACGAGCACCAAGAGGTGCTCCACGGTCACCACGGCCATTCTGTGCAGGCCGAGCTCTCCCACGAGTTCGGGGCAGCCCAGCAGCGCAGCGGCGCGGCTGGAGGCGGCCGGTGGGCCAGCACCAGGAGGCAGCAACAGGGCCAAGGCGGGGATGGCAGAGCGACCCGCTGCAGCAGGTCGGTAGGTCCAACGACAGCGCGGCGCCGCCAACGCCACCGCCGCAGGCCAACGCCCAGCGGCGCGCAGCAGCAGCAGCAGGAGCAGCAGGAGGAGCAGGAGGAGGAGGAGGAGGGGGAATGTCCTCGCCTATGCTCCCCCGCAAAGTGCAAGGCGGTCCCGACCAGTCGCTGGAGGGCGTCGTGACCGACTGGAGGGGCAACGAAGGTGCTTCCCGTGCAGGGGAACTCCAAACTCTTGACCCTCGTCCTTATTCCTCGACGTCGCCACTTCCCCTCCTCGCCGAACTACAGCTGCCACAATCAGTTTCCGCCACCAGCTACCTAGTCCCTCAATCAGTCGTCATGAAGATGGCTGGTTGGGTTCCTAGTCAAGTATCTTTGGTTGGAGGTACCATCTGAAAGTGGAAGCATTGCCCAAAAGGGGGAGAAGTGCGCAAAGTCTGGAGGAGACGGAGGGGTGAGGAGTAATGGGATGAAGGGTGAACAGGTTGTTTTTGGCAGGATGAGGCTGCAAGGACAGAACGCTATGATTGCGGAGTGAGTCTGGGGTGTCCATCGCACGGGGCATCATGGGTCGCCATCTCATGAATCGGGAACCCAGGCGCGCGATCTTGTCAAACATAGGCAGGAGGATGCGAATCCGAGGTGAAGGGAGAGTGGAGGAGGGATGGGCGGGAGGGAGCGAGAGAAGGCGCGCGAGCGGGAGCGGGAGGGGAAGACTATGGGAGGGAAGGGGAGTAGGGGAAGCGACGTATGGAAGGGCGGCGCGGGTGAGGGAGGAAGAGTGGCTTGAAGCTCTTTGGCAGGACGAGGCGGGGAGAACCGCAACTCCCGTCGGACCGGAGGACGGCGGCGACTGACCATTTTGGGTCGGGGGTGTGCTTCCGGAGCTCTCTGGATGTTTCTGCAGGTCGCTCCGGGGGTCTCAGGATGCCCAGGATGGCACCAGTACGTTCAGAGATGTGCAGGGGCCTCCTTGGCAGATCTTGCCAGGACGGTCTCAGAGGCTCAGGATTGGTGCGTGTGCCCTCTTGGCCGGGCCAGGAGGAAGTGAACACCGATACTGGGCCCAGGATCGCCCTGCCAGGATCGGTAGTGATGTGCAGACCGCTGCGCCGTGGTGATGATCGCAATGATTACAGTCATGGCCAGGACGAAGAGGAGGGGGAGACGGAGGACGAGGGAGGACAGGGGGCGAGGAGGCGAACGAGGGAGGACGAGGAGGGCGAGGAGGTGGACGAGGAAGACGAGGAGGTGGACGAGGAGCACGAGGAGGTGGACGATGAGGCGAGGAGGACGAGGGGTGTGTGGGTATGTTCCAGGGGGGGGACGCAAGTTTGCCTGATTTCGCTGCCCGCCTGGCTCAGGGCAGTGCCGCCCAGTCTGCCAGTATCGACGGCGTTGTCGGTTCTCGATCAGACGCGCTGGAGTGACAAAGTGTTTCACTCCCTACCCATCGCCATCTCCTACCATCCCGTTCCACTCCTAGACCGTACCATTTACGTGGTCTTTATAGACTCATGACTTGGAGACCTTTTTTTCCAGAGTTGGTAGCGGAGCTGCTGCATCCGCGGCAGCTCTGCACACCGCCGCCCCGGCATACGATCTGCACCGTGGCGAGTACCTGCGGGACTTCGACGACAAGAGCAACGTGGCCAATTTCGAGATCTACCGCCATGTGGGTACTTACCACTGCGCTACCACGGCGCCCACTCCCCCGACCACGTAGACTTCCGACGCGCGAGGACACTCGACCCACACAGTGCTGTCGTGGAATCGCGACGGCCCAAAGTGAGCGCGTGCCCGCGCTCTTCGTGCCTGTTTTATGTTGTGGACACACGACGGCCAGGAAGTGAACGTGCGCCCGCGTTCCTTGAGCCAGCCTTGCGCTGAGGAGTTAATTCGGCGTTTGGCTTTAGCTTGCAATCTTTCTGCCCGATGTGGGATTAGCCCCATCGTCATTCCAGAGTTTTCTGGTTTGCATTCTGGCGAGCCGAGCAGAATCGACACTTGCTCAGCCTACCTTTGTTGTTTCCACATTGAGGTCATTGAGGTGCTAAGTCAACTGTTTCATGGAGACATGACGCAGTACTTCGCACTCTCGTGTTTTCCTGGCCTTTGCCTCACTGCAGGTGAGGTAGCCGCGTTTGGCGGCAGGACCGCAGCGGTCAGGCATCGTTCCCTCCCAAACCTTCGACTGAGGGTATTTCCCAAGGGGGGACGCAAGTTTGCCTGATTCCCTTGCCGTCCTGGCTCAAGGCAGGGCAGCCCAATCTGCCATTGTCGGCGGCGTTGCTGGCACTCGATCTGAGGCGCCGGGATACAACGCTCTTGTCTCTACCCATTGCCATGTCTAACCATTCCGCTCCACTCCTTGACCGTTTTGTTCACGCGGTCTTACGAAGCCATGGCCTAGAACACGAGGAGGTGGACGAGGAGGTGGGCGCGAGGGTGCCTGGGCGCACATGGGTGCGAGGCGCGGCGCGCGCCCCCCGCCGGGCATCGCCAGGTTTCGGGTACATCCAGTTCCAGGACGGCAGGAGGGCCCGCGTCCTCAGGCTGTCGCTGCGCGCGCGCAGCGCGATCGGGGCTCAACGGACGAGCGTTAAGACAAACGTCGAGCAGTGGCAAAGCTTCCTGGCTTGCCTATAGCGCCACCAAAAAAACGTTCTAAGAACATGTTGCGGTCTGCACGAAACGTTTTTAGAACATTTCTGGTCGAGGTTGTATCGGGTTTTCGCCCTCACAACTTCGCTTTGTGTTTGGAACATTGGTTGGGTTCTTAGAACATGTCGTGGTAGGCATCTGGGACTGCCAGGACGGTCGGGGTTTGTTTTTGTACAACAAAAAACGGAGGTCCGCCATAGCGCCGGATCTTGCACGATCTTGCAGGGCCAGGGTCGCGTGCAGGATCTTTCAGGTTTTTGTTGGCCCCTGCAAAGCCTGAGTGGCCGGGGTCTGGATTGACCTGGGTCAGTATATCCGCTATTTCGCGCCGCCCTGCAGCAAGCGGGTCCCGAGGGTGACGGGTCCTGCGGTTTGCCCGTTCTTTGCCGTTTCGGATGTACAGGCTGGACTTCTTTTCTATTCGTCCACATCCTCCGGTCTTGCTGGGCGGAGGGCGGGCCTGGCCAACAGCTTCCGTGCCAGCGTGCACTTGGCCAATTCATTTCGACGCCATCGTGGCGGATCACGCCCACCGCACTCGCTCTGTGCGCCCCGCTGTCCCCCCATGGTTACCTTGAGGCGGGGCCGGAAGACCAGGCCAGCCGCGCGGCCGCCAGCCATTCGCACGCAAGTTGCCCGCGCAAAGCCGCGCGTGAGCGCCCTCGTCTCTCCGCGCGGCGCGCCGCGTTGGCGGTCCGCGCTCCGTGGGGTCGCCGCGCCGTCTTGCGCGATGTCCGTTGTCTGTTCCAGCGCTCGTGCTGCTTCGTCGTGGTCCTTTCTTACCCGTCGGACATCGCCAGAATGTTCCCAAACCGACTGTGTCCTTGCTCCCCCGCCGCCCGAGGGACGCGGTACTCGGAGCAGAGCTGCGGACAGGCACCCCGGCCTCTTCAGTTCGAAAACGTGGGGAGGGTAACGTCGTTGGTCCTACTTGTTGGTTCCATGGGGCAGTTCCGGGAACAGAGGAGCACGAGGAGAGTGATGTGGGTGATGAAGCAGCGAAGCGGGGGGTTGTGGAGTATGAGGGGCAGGGTGATGTTGAGAGCATTGGCGGCACGGCAGGTGGCAGCGTAAAGTTCTGCATGGGTCGTGGACCCAGTGGGCCTGGCGTGTCTTGTGCCAGCGGTGCGCGCGTGGTTTGCACATCGCGTCTAGATTTAGACTCAGGAGGTCTTTAGTTTTGATGCCCACCCATCCCCTGTTTCTCTCGGCGGGGAAAATGTCGTACCTTCTCTCCCTCCTCCTCCTCCTCCTGCTCCTCCTCTTGCATCCCTCCTCCTCTTCCTCCTGCTCCTCTTCCTCGACCTCCTCCTCCTCCTCCTCGTCTCATTCTTTGTCGTCGGCGTCCGCGTCGCGGGTCACCGATTAGTTTCCCACTAATATTCTCCGCACTGGATGATGTTGGGGGTTTCTTTCTCCCAGCGAGTAATGCTGCCTAGGCTCCCCTGCACGACAAGAGGAATCCTGAGCACGTTTGTGAGAGGGTTGCGCTATAGATCGACACATTCGTCGCCGAAGGCGTTGGTCGCAATCTCCTCGTCGTAGGTGCAGTGCGATTATTGTATATGCCGACTTCTGTAGAATCTACACATACATCTTTGTCGTCGGCGCCCTCGTGGCGGGCCACCGATTAGTTTCATTGTAATGTTCGTCGCGCTGGATAATTATTGGGGTGTTCTGTCTCCCAGCGAATAATTCTTCTTGGGCTACCCTGCACGACAGATGGATTATGAGCACGTTTATAAGAGGATGATTCGCCAAAGGCTTTGCGTAGTCATAGTAGTAGACTTCGTAGTCAAAGCCGTTACCGTATCGTGCTCGTAGTCGTAATCGTAGTCGTTGTCGTCATTGTCGTTATTGTGCGGCGGGTGCCGCGGGTAATCGTCATTGTAGTCATTGTCGTCATTGTCGTAATCATCGTTATTGTGGGGCCGGAGTTCGTCAATAAGGTCGCCGAAAAGATAATCAGTTCCCAATTGTTGGGGGGGATCTCAAGGCCTTGTCCGGCTAACATTCCTACATACAAGCGCGGCCGCCTCATCTCTGCCACCATGCATTGCGAGGTAGCACAGACATAGGCAGTAGTTGCACATCGTTATTTCCACGTGTTCGCATTGTCGACCACGAGATTGTTCTTATCTCGTCTCCCAACGTTGGCCTACAGCTGCCCACTCTCACTCACATACAATCAGACAGATCCTCTTCGCAGAATGGTGCACGAATATGTGGTGCGCCATCGTACTATCAAGCAGCATTCGTTGCCATGCGTTGCCAAGCGATGACTTGTTTGGTATAATCGATAGACCACGCATGGGTAGTGTCATGTATCATTGTTGATTGTTCTGCTTAGGATTGCGCACACTTTCAAAACAGCATCGGAAGCATGTTCATCAGTTCACCACCACCCCTCCCTCCCTCCCTGCTGCGCCCTCCGCCTCTGACTGCCGCCTTCGCCTTCGGTCAGAGGAGCGAGAAGTCATGATCATGATAGTTTCCTGATTTCCAAAAGCGATTCCGCGATGTTCGACTTGTTCCGCAACGCTTCCAGAAACGAGGAGTTCTGGAATTCTTGGAACGTGTCTTGAGCCCATCGCATCATGACATCATTCTCGTTCAACTCGGCCTTGGCCGTCCTCCCCTGCTCTCGCCGATGAATCCGCCTCTTCCCTTCTCTTCCTAATGTTTGTCCTTCTCTTCCCCATGCTCCTGCTCGTCTTTGCCCCCTCGCCTCGTCATCACAGACCCATCAGGGGTCCCCAGACCCGCACGTCCCGACTTGCCGCCGGAGCTCCCTTCTGGAGGACCACCATGGCGGCATAGCATAAGAGCGCGCAGTCGAGACTATCGTCGACGACGACGACATACCTTTAGGGGCTGGTTTGCGGGCCGCGACTCGGAGCCAGGTCGGGGATTCCAGCCGTGGCTGGAGCTCGCCGTGGCCAGAAGAGAAGCCCTGGCGGTCCTTGTGCACCGTTGCTCGTGGCACGACGGCCATGCCTCCCACACCTCTGCTTTCCTCCTCCTCCTGCTCCTGCTCCTGCTCCTCCTCCTCCTCCTCCTCCTCCTCCTCCCTTGTGCATCGTTTCTCCCACACCTCTACTTTCCTCCTCCTCGTCCTCCTGCTCCTCCTCCTCCTCCTCCTTCTCCTCCGCGTCCCTGCGCCTGCCTGTGCTGCTGCTGCCGTTGCGCCGCCACCTCTCGAGACGCTCGCCTCGCCAGGCGACGCCGTGGTCGGCGACGTGGCGGGCGACGCCTCGAGCCCGGGCAGCTGGGTGGCGGTGAACGTGCGGGTGGCCCCGTCGGCGGCCGTGGAGGCAGGCCTGCCGCAGAGACTTCTCCGTCGCGGCGCGGTAGAGGCGATCCGCCAGTATCGTGTAACCGACCCCCATCCCCATCCCCTCGAAACCCGAAGGGAACGACCTATATCCTCATCTAGGGGGGCAACTCGGCCAGTGGGGACTAGGCCACGCCGCTGGGGATGGGGATCGGTTCAACGATGGTCAAGCCGCTCGCGCGTCCAAGCAACTCGGTCTTGCGAATTGTCCAGCGTGCAAGAGGAGGGGGGAAAGACGAGAGGGGGCCGCGGAGGCAGGAGGCGAGACGAGAGAGTGCACTCACGCGGCGGGGCCGCGGGGGGGCGCGCAGGGGCGGCCGGGCCGCAGGGCAGCCCCATGTCAGCGAGTGCGGGGCGGCGTCGACCTGCCGTAGACAGGAGGACGCCGAGTTGCGCACGCCACAAAATTAGGAGAGGGCTGCGCGCACCTCTCGGCGTTGTGCGCTGGGGCTCCCCTCCCCAGTGGCGCGCGAAGCGCACCAAGGGCGGCGGCAGGGGTAGACCAGCGCCGTGTAAAGAGAGCCGCTCGGATCGCCGAAAGCTGATGTTTGCACGGCCGTTTCCCTTCCACGGCCAGATTGGCCACAGTCGCGTGGATGGGCCTCTGAAGAGTGGGGCGCCCTTGCATCCCTCGCGCCCGGGCACCATCTGCGTGCCCTCCTTGTCCCTCCCCGGTCCGAGGGCACCAGGGGATCCCGCCGCGTTCCAGGCGCCCTGCCCCCGTGCACTCCACGCCTCGTGATGAGTGGGCCTGGCTGTGCAGGCGGACCTGCAGCGGAGCCTGGCCGCCGCCGTCGGGAGCCTGATGAGCTCGGGGGCCCTGGCGGGCGGGCAGACGCTGGCGAGCCTCGGCCACGCCGTCCAGGGCGGGGAGGACGCGGTCGTCAGCGAGTGGAACGAGGCTCGATGGAAGAAGTTGATAAACGCAGCTATCGACGGCCCGCTCGGATTTCTTGCATCTGCGTTGGACATCCCTGGCGGCGCCTCCGGCGCCGCCCCTGGCGCGCATCGTGCGCCGGGGAGGGAGGTCCAGCGCACATCCAGGCAGTCCGCGCGGACCGTCGACAGTTTATGCTCGTGCAGCGGTTCCTTCCTTCTAGAGGCGGGCGGTTACGGCTTCCTGACGACGGGCGACGGACGGCGGGCCTTCATCCACAGGAGCATGCTCGGGCAGCTCCCTGGCCAGGCCAGGCCAGGGGGGGAGGAGGAGCGGCACCGCCACCACCACCTGCAGTGCCACCACGGATGAGGAGGGCCCACGATGCTTCCCCCTGGGCTGGCAGCTAGCAATGCCCCGCGTGCGGCGCCGAAGAGGCGGGGACGCCACGCCACTGGGTAATTAGACCCTCTCCGGCTCTCCGCGGTGGTGATGGTGGTGGTGGTGGTGGTGGTGGTGGTGGTGGTGGTGGTGGTGTTGATGCTGGTGGCGTCGTTGCCCCTTGCGCCTGCCCACACTGAAGAGAAGATCCAGTAGGCATGAGTCTAAAAATCATCAGAAGTCAGCGAGGATCTCTCGGGTCGGCGCTGGGTTCCCTTCGGCACCGCCTCTGGCGCCGCTTCCGGCGCCGCCCCTGGTGCGCTCCACGTGCCAGGGAAGGAGGGGAGACCGAGCGCCGATGCGAGAGAGCCGCGCGGATCTCCCAAAGCCAGTGTTTTTGTGCAGTCTGTGCTCCCTCTGCCGCTGCCAGGGCCTGGCGGTGGGCTCCACCATGCGAGTGACCGTCAAGCCGGACCCCAGGATCAGCATCGTCGAATTGATCCCCATCGCCAGTGGGCCAGGGCATCTCGGCCCCACCAGTCCACCCTCCTGGCTGGGGATGGGCCCCGCGAAACAACAGTCATAGATGATCCAGGGTTCCAGAACCCCCCCTCAATGGCAGAGGGGTCGAGCCCCTCTGTCTGGATGGGTACCCCCCGCTGTGGTCGTGGCCTTGTTGGCGTGGCGTAGTGTAGGGATGACATTCCGCTGCGTTTGCCGAAAGCTCTCCAAGACAAGGTCGAAGGGTCCCGTGGGATTCGTTCCCTGAGGTCGTCTTCGGCTTCAGCTTCGGTGTCGGCGTCCGCGTCCGTAGTCGTCGTCGTCGTCGTCGTCGTCGTCGTCGTCGTCGTCGTCGTCGTCGTCGTCGTCGTCGTCGTCTTTGTCGTCCCCCATCCCATCTTAGGGGGGGGGGTCCTGAAGAGCCCGGGGCCCATCCTATGGGGGGGGGCGCTTGTGAATCCTCGATCCTGGATCACATATCCCATCTAGGCGGGGAAAGGATCGGCCAAGCGACGCCCACAGGAACCCCGGCAAGTGGACGGTCGACCAGGTTGTGGCGCAGCCGCCGGGGGCGCCGCAGGGCGCCGCACCCCCCATGGGCGACACCGCGAGCGGCACCGTGGCCAGCTGGAACGAGGACGGCGGTTACGGCTTCCTCGACATGGAGGACTCGAGGAGGAGCAAATAGCACAAGCAAACTCGTGACCAGCGGTTCCCCCCCCGCCACCCCTCATTAGGTGCACGCGCCTGAGCAGGGCACGGCGCCGCCTAGGCGCTTGACCGAGGAGCAAATAGCCTAAACATAAACCAGGGCAGCCCCTGTTTGATCCCTGGCGTGGCCACGGTGGTGGGGAGGTGGGAGAAGAGGCCAGTCATGTCACGATTCGCGCTGGCGCCGTCTGGGACTGCCTAGGGATGGCTAGTTCCCTGATGGCGCCACCACGAATCGTGACGTGACCATGTGGTGGGGGACGCAGCCAGTCACTCGCGCGATCCCGAATAATAGAAAGAATGCTTTAGTAGGAAGATGGGACAGCATGGGTGAAGAGCGTGGAGCCAGTTTGTGTGACCAGCAGGCCACAGGGGGGAATCGCATGTACTTCGTGTTCCGGCCGCGGGCATGTTAAATGTGTACGCTCCGCACAATAGAGCAAGAATAATCGCATAGGCATAAATCTTCGGAGATCCGCGCTGGGGCCCCCCTGGCGGCGCCTCCGGCGCCGCCCCTGGCGCCAAGAAATCCGCACGCACCTCGAAAGTGTGCGTTCATGTCCTGTAAGGACGGCAGGAGGGCCTACATCCACCGGAGCATGTTCGGGGGCGCTGGCAGCCTCGCCGTGGGTTCCCGCCTCCTCGTCAGCACCAGACCTGACTCCCGGAATCCTGGCAAGCTCTGTGTGGGAGAGGTGCTGGCCGGAGACATCGTCGACTCAGGCCTGGCGGGGTGTGTAGAAGGCTTGCAGGCCTTTCGCATGGGGCCCGAGAGGTTGGGGTTGCGTCGGAGGATCGCGCCGCATCGCCGATGCATCGGCGATGCGGCTCGATGTGGAGCCCCGTGGTATGATGTTCCAATCTACTGTAGCGTTGATCACCGTCAAGAGTTTCGAGCACCAAGGAAGTACCGAAACTTGAGGGTTTCCACGTGCTGGGCCCTGGGAAGCGAGACTCGTTCGACACCGTTTCGATAAGTAATACTTATCGGGGTGCTCGAAATTATGTTTGGGATGTGCCGCTTGAGCACGGTGGGAGCAACAGGAGCCCCGTGGAGGCCTCGGGCTTTCTCTCGCGCGCGCGCCGCCCGCCAGGCGCCGGGCCTCCCGCGAAGAGGGCCCGCCCGGGCTGAGCGCGCCCGTCGCGGCTCCCGGGGCGCGCGGCCGCGCGTCGACGCTCCGCGGCGGCCGCGGCCCCGCGCGGCATCGCGAGGGGGGAAAGTCGAGGGAGGAAGGACCCGACACTTGGCGCTCGCGGAACAGCCCTGGGCGTTTACCCAACGGCCCTGCCCCGTTGGATTCCTTCTTGGGGTGCGTTTGCTGAACGGCTCCGCGTGTCGGGGTGATCTTTCTGGGGGTGGATGTTCTGCCCTCTGGACACAGCGCCGCGGGCCCTCCGTGCCGCCTCGCCCCGCCGGGGCCGCCCTCGGCGTGGCGTGGCGGGGCGGAGGGGCGCGCGAGGGCGGCTCCGCTGGCGGAAGCCGGCGGAATTTCGGCGGAAGGCGGCAGAAGAAAGAATGCGCCCCAAAGCGATGGCGATATTTCTGGTTCAAGGGTTTCCGGAACCAGCCATGTGGAGTTGTTTGTTGTTCCACGCCGGCGGCGCCGATGCATCGGCGATGCGTCGACGAAGCTAGGCGGCCTGGGCGATCAACACTGGAGACACTGAAATCAGGACCACGGGTCGCTCCTTTGATCTAGGTCGGAGCCGAGTCTAGTCAAGGCCAGGAACAAAACTGGATATGCTTTACCCATCGTTTGCTTTCAAGGTCTGTTCTCCGCAAGTGGGCACTGTCTTTGGATGCGATTCTTGGGAGGGGTACTTCAGCATTGGCGCTGGTATATCCGTTGTCGAGAATATATACGTGCTGATTTCCATGTACGTTGTGGTATGGCTCTCTGGACGTATGAGAGTACATGTATTCCCAGACGGAGTGTTGCACACGTGCGTGCGTACGACATGAGGTGAACTTGAGTCCAAGTGCATGTGTCATGTGGTATACATCAGCCGTGCGCTGACGGGCGATGATGGCATCAGTATACAACAAACATTGTACACGCTTTCAGTATCTCTGGCCTTCGGCACATTGCGCCAAGGTGCCTGGGTTGTGGGTATGAAGCTTATTGAATGTTCGTTGGGATCTCGTGTGAGGTTTCTCGGGGGCCTCTTGGAGGCAATTCTGAGGCCTCTTAGGGGTATCGTTTGGCCGCCTCTTAGGGGTATCGTTTGGACCACTTGGAGTGGAAGTCCCGGATTTTCGGTTCGGGCTCCCTCTCTTGAGCCTTTTTTGGGGCCGTCTTGGAGCCCTCTTGGGCACTCTTAAGCGCCTCTTGGGCCGACTTGGGGGCGCTCTCAGGCCGTCTTGGGGCCCTCTTGGAGGCCTCTTGGGCCGTCTTGGGGCCCTCTTGGGGGCCTCTTGGGCCGTCTTGGAGCGTCGGAAAGCAGACAGGCGAGAACGCCAACATCTTTCAAAACCCAAGGGACATCGATCATGTTTGCCTCTTGGGGCCTCCTGGGAGGTGGGGGCCTCGTGGGGCGTTTTAGAAGCCTCTTGGTGCATTTTGAGGCCATCTTGAACGTCTTGGAACAACCTTTTCGGCAACTCTGGGCGTCCTGGGTCCTCAAGGGAGCTAGAAAGCTTCACAGCACTCCCAGCACGCCCACCATTGCTTCGAGACGACTGTCGTGGCCGGCAAGACCCCCCAAGAGACTGATCCCCGAGAGAGTCCCCAGGGGCGAATATCATTGATTGCCCGAGTATTTTTCAAGGATTCTCTTGGGGTCGCCTGTTTTGCTGCCCGACGCCCAGAGACAGCACAAGAGGCGCCCAAGAGGGCCCCAAGACATCGCAAGCGGGAGCCAAGACGGCCCAAGGGGCGCCCACAATCGCTCCAGAGGGCTCCGGGCGGCGCCCCTAATGAGTTCGGACACGCCACAAGGGCCCTAAACAAGGCCCTCAGGGCCCAAAACGGCCCCAGCATGCCCATGCTTGCTCCGATGCGGTCTCAGGCAGCCTCCGAGGCGACCCAGAAGGCTTGAAGCTCATCCCCGAGACGGCTCCAGGGGCGAAAATCATTGATTTCTTTATTGTTTTCGTGTGGTCGCCTGCTCCGCTGCCCGACGCGCGGAGACGGCACAAGAGGCGCCCAGCAGGGCCCTAGGACACCAAAAGCGGGCGCCAAGACGGCCCACGAGGCGCCCACAATCGCCCAAGCGGGCTCCAGGTCGCTCCCAAAATTTGTTCGGACACACCATTACGCTACCGAGGAACCCCACATACCTATTTTATTTCCCATGTGTACCATCGGTGCTTTTGCTGCTGCTCCTCCTTCTCCTCTTCGGTGTCCTCCTCTTGCTGCTGCTTCTGCTGCTGTTGCTGCTGCTGCTGCTGCTGCTGCTGCTGCTGCGTCTGCTGCTGCAGCTGCTGCTGCTGCTGCCGCTGCTGCTGCCCCACTTCCCCGTCCTCCTCCTCCTCCTCCTCCTCCTCCTCCTCCTCCTCCTCCTGCTCCTCCTCCTCCTCCTCCTCCTTTACCTCCTCCTCCTACCTCCCAGCGCACCCCCTGTGGCGTCGAGGAAATGCCACGCCTGCCATGCCCTGGGAGCCTGCAACGCATAGGGCCCCCACCCCCAGCGCACCCCCTGTGGCGTCGAGGAAATGCCACGCCTGCCACGCCGTGGGAGCCTGCAGCGCATAGCCGGCTCAAAATCAAAAGAGGCATCATAGCTTCATCAGTCTAGATTGACCAACTCACGGATCCATTGCAGTTTATTTTCACTGAATTCATTCCATGCGTAGCATGCTCACCCCTAATGGACCGCGAACAGGACCCAGTCCCCTGCTGGTCGTCTAGTGCCGCCATCATAGGCAACCAGAGGGGCCATCATAGGCACATTGCACCCAGTTCGGGGCCATCAGCAAGGCTCGTTTGGGGAAGAAGGACCATCATAGGCCTTCGCGGTCAATTTGCTCATTGAACTCAAGTTTCTCGTCGTCGTCCTCCTCCTCCTCCTCCTGGTCCGCCCTTGCCCTCTCCCCCCCCGGTGAGGACCATCATAGGCCTTGCCAGTGAGGACCACCATGAGGCCTCACACCCCTCGCAGATTCCATCATTGGAACTGCGGGGGCCGAACCAAATCCCCACAAACCTGGCACCGTACGTGCAGTGCCAGGGGCGGCGGCCCGTCTTCCCATCTTACCATCATAGGAGGATGCGAAATCCCTGAAGCCGGGACGGCTCGAAATCAAAAGAGGCATCATAGCCTCATCAGTCTAGATTGACCAACTCACGGACCCACTGCAATTTATTTCCATCGAATTCATTCCATGCGTGGCATGCTCAACCCTTGTGGCGTCGAGGAAACGCCACGCCTGCCACGCCCTGGGAGCCTGCCACGCATAGGGCCCCCACCCCCAGCGCACCCCTTGTGGCGTCGAGGAAATGCCACGCCTGCCACGCCATGCGAGCCTGCAACGCATAGGGCCCCCACCCCCAGCGCACCCCCTTGTGGCGCCCAGGAAATGCCACGCCTGCCACGCCCTGGGAGCCTGCAGCGCGTAGGGCCCCCACCCCCAGCGCGAGGAAATGCCACGCCTGCCACGCCCCGGGAGCCTGTAGCGCATATGGCCCCCACCCCCAGCGCACCCCGTGTGGCGGCGAGGAAATGCCACGCCTGCCACGCCCTGGGCCTCCACCCCCAACGCACCCCCTTCTGGCGTCGAGGAAATGCCACGCCTGCCACGCTTTGCGAGCCCGAAACGCACAGGGCCCCCACCCCCGGCGCACCCCCTCTGGTGTCGAGGAAGTGCCACGCCTGCCACGCATTGCGAGCCCGAAACTGATAGGGGCCCCACCCCCAGCGCACCCCCTGGTGTCGAGGAAGTGCCACGCCTGTTATGCCTGGACGACCGTCGTGCATAGCGGCCATACCGGGACGTGTCTCATGTGGGTGCCCACTATGTGGCGCACACGTCGTGGATGTGTGATGCAGTGAACACGCCAGGCGCGTACTAGCGCTGTATGGTGTGTGTGTGCGTGTTGTGTGCGAATGTGTGCATGCGTGCGGCTGTATGTAGACGCGTGTGGCATGTACTTGCCGTGCATGTGTTGAGCGCGGGTGAGGAGAAGAAGAAGAGGGAGGAGGGGAGGTGTGACGAGACGCGGGTGCGCCGCGGCAGGGCATTACGCCAACGAGGAACCCCACATATCTATGCTACTGCCCATGTGTACCATCGGTGCTACTGCTACTGCTCCTCCTTCTCCTCCTCGGTGTCCTCCTCCTGTTGCTTCTGCTGCTGTTTCTGCTTCTGCTGTTGCTGCTGCTGCTGCTGCTGCTGCTGCTGCTGCTGCCCTACCTCCCCGTCCTCCTCCTCCTCCTCCTCCTCCTCCTCCTCCTCCTCCTCCTCCTCCTCCTCCTCCTCCTCCTCCTCCTCCTCCTCCTCCTCCTCCTCCTCCTCCTCCTCCTCCTCCCTCCTCCTCCTCCTCCTCTCTACCTCCTCCTCCTACCCCCAGCGCACCCCCTGTGGCGTCGAGGAAATGCCACGCCTGCCACGCCCTGGGAGCCTGCAACGCATAGGGCCCCCACCCCCAGCGCACCCCCTGTGGCGTCGAGGAAATGCCACGCCTGCCACGCCCTGGGAGCCTGCAGCGCATAGGGCCCCCACCCCCAGCGCACCCCCTGTGGCGTCGAGGAAATGCCACGCCTGCCACGCCCTGGGAGCCTGCACGCATAGGGCCCCCACCCCCAGCGCACCCCCTGTGGCGTCGAGGAAATGCCACGCCTGCCACGCCCTGGGAGCCTGCGCACCCCCTGCGGCGTCGAGGAAATGCCACGCCTGCCACGCCCTGGGAGCCTGCAACGCATAGGGCCCCCACCCCCAGCGCACCCCCTGTGGCGCCCAGGAAATGCCACGCCTGCCACGCCCTGGGAGCCTGCAGCGCATAGGGCCCCCACCCCCAGCGCACCCCCTGTGGCGCCCAGGGAATGCCACGCCTGCCACGCCCTGGGAGCCTGCAGCGCATAGGGCCCCCACCCCAAGCGCACCCCCTGTGGCGTCGAAGGAATGCCCTGTGTGCTACGCTGTGTTGTGCTGTGCTGTGCTGCTGTGCGGTGAGCTGTGCCGTGCCGTGCCGAGCTGAGCTGAGCTGAGCTGAGCTGAGCTGTGCTCAGTTGTGCCGTGCTGTGCTGTGCTGTGCTGAGCTGTGGTGAGCAGGAGGGGAAGAGTGAGGTGTGTGAGAGAGAGACGGAGAGGGAGGTGTGAGGGTGAGTGTCGCGGGTGCGGCGCGGCAGGGAAGAAAAACCAGAACCCCACGAAGCATGTGGGGAAGAAAACCAAAACCCCACGAAACATGTGGGGAACAAGGGTCCTTAAGGAGGACCACAAGACCCCAAAACGGACCCAGCACGCCCACGATCGCCCCGAAGCGGTCCACGAGGCAGCCAAGACGGCCCAGGAGGGCTTTAAATTGCATTCCGAATGAGCTCCCATTGGCAAAAATCATTCAACAATCATTAATTGCCCATTAGTTTTTCATGGATTTCCCAGTGGTCGCCTGTTCCGCTTCCCGACGCTCGGAGACGGCACGCGAGGCGTGCACGAGGGCCCGAACGCGCCCCAAAACACCGCCACATTGGCCGAAGAAGCTCCCAAGAGGGCCGTAAAGAACGCTTTAGGGTTTAGGGCTTCCTCGCGGAGCCATCCTATCCCTCCTCCTCAGGAGGTGTCCCACCCATGCACCCAGAGTCATTGCTTTTAGGGTTTAGGGATCAACCCCCGTCGCTCCCCCCTGTCTAGGGGGGAAGGGTCTTTGCGCGCAGACGTGCCGAGCGTTCCAGCGATGGGCCGAGGCCCGGAGTGCGGCGCGGAGCTGAAGTCCTGAGACCCAGAGTCTAGGGCCGGGAGCCCGGGCCAGCCAGGCCAGGGCCCGGATCCGGCTGAAACCCGGAAACCTCAGGCTCAGAGCTCGGAGCACGGCCCGACCGAGCCCTTAAGCATTCAGACCACCAAACCGCCGCAAACAGCAATATTGAGCACGGAAACGTTGGAAACACCCATTTGAACACTCCGGGCGCTGAACACGCGGAGGACCGAAACGCCGTAAACCGCAAATGTAAGCACCGAAACGCTCCAAACAACAACTCGAGCTCAGAGCCGGAGCCAGTCCTTAAGAATTTTGAGCACCCCAACGCTGCAAACAGCAATTTTGACCACCGAACCGCCGCAAACACAAATATTGAACCCGGAAGCGCTGGAAACAGCAATTTGAGCAGACATAGCCGGGCCATTTTAAAAATCAAAACACCGTAAACACAAATTTTCAGCAATTTTGAACACGGAAGCGCTTGTTTCAGCAGCCAAAGCCGACCGCAGAAGCATTGGACCAAAGCGCCGCAAACGGCAAATTTGAGCGCAAGCAACAGCCGGATCCGAATTCTCAAGCATTCTGATCACCAAAACGCTGCAAACAGCAATTTTGAGCACCGAACCGCCGCAAACAGCAATTTTGAGCATCGAAACGCTCGAAACACCAATTTTAGCAGCCCGAGCCGGGCCCAGAAGCATTTTGAGGGAGCCCGAGGCGAGGAAACCAGGAAACCCAGCGCCAGGTAGGTGCTCAGGCCTGGGAAACCCACCTCCCTTGCCTTGGTGCGCCTAGGAAACTTAGCACCACATGGCTGGGTGAACATCAGAAACCCAGGCTCACGTGGCTGGGTGGACCTAGGGACCAAGCCTACGTTGGTGGCCCTAGGAAACCCAAGCGTAGGTTGCCTGGCGAAGGTCTGCATGGGGAACTGCGATCGCTTCCGGCCCAGGGTTAAGGGTTATCAGGGCTCGTGGAGCAGCTAGGTCCTCCATTGCCCTCCTGGCCACGCTCCCGCGAGAGTGCAAATTGGCAACTGTGCATGCCACAGCAATCTGCGCAGGAGAGGACCCCATTTACTATACGACCCCAGGTTTCGGGCCGATGGAGGTCAGCTACGGGTGGCTCTTGGTAGGAGCCGGGACGGGACTATGTGCAGGAATCTTTCTAATGGCTATGGTGTGGCTGTTGCGCAACGTCGTGCGTGCGGGCAAACCAATGCCACCGGAGCTACCAGTACAGCGTCCGCCTTTCCCATGGCATACGGCGACAGAGCGTGCACAATTGCATGTGCTCCGGGACATACGGGCTGGAGGTCGCGAGTCCCTCCGCACTATGGCGGCACGCAGTGGGAAGACCGAGACGGAGTTTTTATATCATCTTGCCGGCATCCCCGTGCCGTCCTTTGGCGGGCCACCGCCCGGGGGGGCCGGGTACCACCCATATTAGTCCAGCCCGCGCACAGCGTGGGCAACCACCTGCACAACAGCACCGGTGCAGATGGGAATTCGACGGGTGCGTGCGATCTATGGCGGGATGAGTACGGGGACAGCATTGGTACCTACAGCTTTCCAGGCAGCAACGTCGTTTACATTAGCGCCAACACCATCGCTAGCATCGGCTTCTACATCCCATTCCACGGTCTGCAGGAGAAGAGGAGGGACGATAAAAGAGGAAAGCATTTTTCTGATCCCGATTCTATCTCTTCCATTGTCACTCCTGCTTTGGCTCCGACTTCCGACACCTTCACCGATCTTACCACACATCCGGCTGCTGACTTCTTCGTTGACCTTCCGATTCCGGTTTCGACGGCTTGTCCTTTCGATACGAACATCGGTTTCGAGTGTGAAAAAAGTGGCGGGCGACAGTACGACGAACGACAATGGTTTTACGACGACGGTAAGCATCGATATGGCAAACAACGGTTCAACGATGACGAAGGACACCGACATGACGATTGTGCCGTAAAGCCCGGTATCATTTCGATTCCTAACTTTCGGGAGTTTTGAGACGGGGGTCAATGCAGACGGGGGTCAGCCAGGGCGCCGGATCCTGCAGGATCCTGCGAAGGCCCCCTCTGGCTGACCCGGGTCAGGGAGCCGCTCGTGGCCGCGAGGCGGCCGCACATATTGGCTGACCCGGGTTTGCGAGGACCTGCGTTGCAGTTTTTTTTTCCTGCATTGCAGTTTTTGGTTTCCTGCTGACCCGGGTCTGGATTGACCCGGGTCAGAAGGTCCCCGAAACTTGGCTCCCGACGGCAGTGTGGATTTGTGTCCGACTCCGGCTCCCGCATCTGTCCGCCTTCCGACTCCGGTCCCCGACCCCAGTTGCCGATTCGAGGAACACAATCAGGACAAAACAGCGTTTTGTGTGGAGATATTGCCGCGCGCATCGTTACCATTTCCGACGCCATCATCCACGGCTACTGCTTACCACGGTACGCCCGTACACACGCAGGTACCCACTACGCCCGTACACACGCCAGCGACGTTACCATTACGAACAACAACGGTTGCTACGGGCACCATTATGTACCAAAATGTATGGGAATGTCAGGGCACACGTCATTATACTTATACGGAAGCCCCGTCAACACAAGAAGACTTCGGATAAATAATAGCATGGATGTTGGCATGGACTACCCGAATTACTTCCAACTCCGGGCTCCGACATCGGCCATTGTTCTGGCGTCGATTTTGGAAAATACGACGGCTACGACATTACCTCTTTGTCCGATGTTGGTGCTTATCACGGTACGGGGAATAAAATTCTTAAGTCATATCTTCGCGCATGTACCTCTATCCTCTTGGTCCGTTCCCGCCCTTAATCCCCCGTCCGCCCTACCTTCCCCCGGGACGGAATCCGACAGGTCCCATGGAGGCCCTCAAAGCAAATCCGACGATAACCCCATTAAGGCTTCTTATGGGATTTCCGCCAGATCTTCCAACGGCAAACCCTTGACCTTCAGGCTCCACGATGGTTCCCAAAGAAAATCCAACTGGAGCCCAAACGCTGACAATCCGACCTCATGGTCGTTTACACTTCCGACTTTTGTGTATGATTTTCCAATTCTGGCTGAGCTTTCCGAACCCATCACTACCGATCCAACTCCAGCATTCGTTCTTCCGACCCAGGCTGAAGCATTCGGGCCTATCGATACCGATCCCTTCCCAACCATGCATTTTCTGAGCATGGGACTTTGGAAGAAAGCTCGCATGTATTCAAATGCGCTGGATGGAGTACCGATTCGGATGCGTTCCCACACCCGACCGTCGAAATTGCATTTCCGACCCCAATTCTTTACGCTTCGCGTATCCCCACCAGCCCATCTCACAGCAGCAGCTCTCGCGAAGCATGTCGACAGTTGTATTTATCAGGCGTGTGTCCGCTGGGCTCCGTATATGTATCTCCCTTCTCCCTCCTTCCTCCCGCCTCCTTGTGAATCCTCCTTGTGGGGGGAGCGGGAGAAGGACGAGGCAGAGGAGGAGGGAGAGAAAGCGCTCCTCGTGATTTGAGTCGTTTGGGGTATCTCGTCCTGGTGTGAGTCGTTCGGGCCCTTCTTCCTGGTGTGAGTCGTTCGGGCTCTTCGTCCTGGTGTGAGTCGTTCGGGCTTCTCGTGGTGTGAGTTGTTCGGGCCCCTCATCCTGGTGTGAGTCGTTCGGGCCCTTCCTCCTGGTGTGACTCGTTCGGGCTCCTCGTGGTGTGAGTCGTTCGGGGCGCGCGTCGTGGTGTGAGTCGTTCGGGCTCCTCGTGGTGTGAGTCGTTCGGGCGCCTCGTCCTGGTGTGAGTCGTTCGGGCCCCTCGTCCTGGTGTGAGTCGTTCGGGCTCTTCGTGGTGTGAGTCGTTCGTGCCCCTCGTCCTGGTGTGAGTCGTTCGGGCTCCTCCTGAGGCCTCTTGGGAGCCTCCTGGGGGCCTCGTGGGGCCTCTTGGGGGCCTCTTGGGGGGGTAGGGGGAGGGGTAAACCCCTCCCCGAAGGGGAAGAAGGGGGTTGGGAGGTTGAAGACAGAGGGAGCTCTCTAAACCACTCACGCCCAAAGTGCTGGTGGGATTTCCGATTGCGATTTCGCTCGTGTATGTTCTATTCCGGCACCCGACGGCATGGCACGCAATTTTCCAACTTCGGCCGCCGATTGGTATGACAGATTCCGGAATCCGACGACGATCTACGACAATTCACATCGCCACTTGCATTACACATGTAACGGGCACAATTCCGGCAGATATAAGGTTTCGGGAAAAAATTTTTCCCAGGGCTTCAGGGTTCCATGGCTTCATTCCCACAGCGGGCCCAGATTGACTGCCGCGCGCGATGCGCGCCGCGTTCCATTCCTGCCACGTGTTCCGCATCGTCGACGATCAGAAAGACGACGTTGAGAAGAAAAACTGCCACTTTGTGTTGATTTTTTATAGTCCGGATGGGAGGTCCCGGATTGGGCCGCTATCGGCCGGAAAACGAGGTAGGTGGGGGTGTATTCTAATAAGGAACAAGGATGTGGGTGTGGGTGTGGGTGTGCGTGCGTGCGTGCGTGCGTGCGTGCGTGCGTGTGTGTGTGTGTGTATGTGTGTGTGCGTGTGCGTGTGCGTGCGTGCGTGCGTGCGCACGCGCGGGCGGGCTGGATTGTGTGTGTGTGTTGTGTGTGTGTGTGTTGTGTGTGTGTTGTGTGTTGTGTGTGTGTGTGTTGTGTGTGTGGTGTGTCTGGTGTGTATGTGTGTATGTGTGTACGGTAGGTTCGCGTCGTGTCGACTCGCGGCGACCCCAGCGCGGGCGTTCAAGGTTGAACGCCGCCGGCGACCCAGAATCGATCGATGTTGAACGATTGGACGTTGCGGAGACGGCCGATCGTTCAAGGTTGAACGATCCCTGCGGTGTCAAAAACCAACGCTGGGGTCGGCACGACACGAACCCGCCGTATGCGTGTATGTGTGTATGTGTGTATGTGTGTGGGGGTGTGGGGGTGTGGGGGTGTGGGTGTGCGTACGTGCGTGCGTGCGTGCGTCCGTGTGTGCGTTTGTGTGACCACCCCCAGTGGGACAATTTGCAATACCGCACGCAGCCTGGGTTGCCTGGACGCCCGTGCGGATTGCCTCTGCCGCGCCGCGCGTTGCATGAGTTGGCCAGGCCCGCGCTGCATGAATGCCAGGCCCGCGTGCGCCCGCCTGACTTGGCCTACGCCGCGCCTGATCGGGTAGTTCTCGTGTATGCATGCCGTGACGTTTATGGCTTATCATTGCCATACCTTACTCAAGCTGAGAAACGGACATGTCGTGTATCATGGTAGCGCGGAGCGAGGTTGTGAGTCGGCCTGCCCGCGATACCGCTGCGCATTCGTCCAAGGCGCCCCAGTGAGGCGCCTGTGCGGCTGGTGTGGCCGCGGAAGAGACCCGCTGGCAGCTGGTCTCGACATCGCCTGGCAAAGCCTGGGCGATCATCGTGAAGGGCGTGCTGAAGCTGGCGCGCCGCAGACGCAGGTGGCATTGCGAGGGCGAGGCTATCAAGATTGTCAAAGCGCGTGGCCAGGCGGTCACAGAGGATGGACGAGGCCCGCGTCGCCCAGATCGAGGAGGCTCCCGCGGCAGCGCAGCAGCAGCAGCAGCAGCAGGTGATCCAGCAGCTGGCGGCCCAGGCCCAGTCGGCCGAGGCCCGAGCGCAAGCGGCAGAGGCTACGGCTCAGGCGATGCGAGGGCCAGGGCAGCAGCAGCCAGCAGACCAGCCTGGTGGCCAGCCACCAGCGGTGAACCGACTGGTCGACACGAGTCCTGGCGAAGCCGCACGACTTCAATGGTGAGCCCGGCACCTGGCGCGACTGGAGCACGATTTTCCGAGCCTACTCCAGCGCCTGTGAGCCTGCGGTGATGGACTTCATGGAGAGAGCAGAATACTCGGACGAGCCGGTGCTGAACGCCACGCCGCCAGAGGAACAGTGGCGACTCAGCAGCCAGCTCTACTACATGTTAGTCATGCTGAATAAGGGTTTCCCACTCGATCGTGTAGTCGGTGCTGGCGTGAATGAGGGGCTAGAGGCTCGGACGACACTCGTCACCTTCCATGAGCCTCAAAGTCGGACCCGGGCGGCAGGATTGCTACAGGAGTTGCTCTCGTGAGACTTCGAAGGTGATGTTCCGTCGAAGCTGATCTCCTTCGACAGGAACGTCAAGCGCTACAAACAGGCTGTCAGCACCGGGTTCCATGACGAGATCAAGATAGGCATCCTGGTCCGCTCTCTCAAGGAGGGCCCGCAGCGCCGCCACCTGTTGCTCAACAGCCAGCGGTTCGACACGCGGGAGCTGGTGAAGGCAGAGGTGGGGAACCTCAGGCGGGCCCAGATCGCGACGACAGCAAGCACTGGCACAGGCACAGCACCGATGGACCTCGACTCTCTCGCGAAGCAGCTGGCAGCTCTCGGCTTCAAGGGCGGCAGGAACGGCAAGATCGGCAACGGCAAAGGCAAGGCCGACAAGCCAGGCAAAGGCAAGGGCGCTGATGATGCACCGACCACGCACCGTCCGATCTGCGTCAAGACGGGCCACTGGAAGCGCGACTACTGGTGGAGCTCCACGACTGCGTCTGCGAAGGCACCGCCGAATGGCGGCGGAGGTCGAGGTCGCGGCAAAGGCAAGAACGACGGCAAGACTGATGCTGCACCGATGCCGAAACCACGTTGGACCTGCGGCTC